AGGCAAGTGCCTGGACTGAGAATCCAACCAGGCTGTCTCTAGGGCTGTGTGTTTTGGGATGAAGCTCAACCAACTGAGCCACACTGGCCAGGCCTGAACTCTTTATTTTATTGTCTAATCATGGGTTGATGTGTTTTTGCCAGGTCCCTGAGATAAACGGGAGGTGGCTTCTCAACCAAGGAAGCCTTTGTCACTCATCAATCTTTTCCCCATTGTTTATTCATCTTTCCCAATTATTTATTGAGTGTTCTCTGCCAGTACTCCTTTCTCCCAAACTGTTTACTGTACAAGCAGTTCAAGTGTAGAAAGAAACTCTACTGTGGTGGAGATAAATTTTGGGGCACAGACTAATTACAATTGGGGTAATTATAAGTAAAAATTTAAGTTTGTTGGTTCAGTGTAAGTTTAAAGCAACAAATCATTGCTTTTGCTGCTACTTCTTCTTATGTTATATTTCTAGTCTTGAACTGTTTGAACATCTGATCTGTCAATTTGGACTGTTCTAAACCAATTTTTATCAGTGTAGGCCAGAAAAGCCATTTTATAGATGACTTGAACTATTTACAAGCAGTTTGATAAAATTAGAGCAAGTATGACCCAGCTAGAGATGGATTTAATTGGTCAGCACTAGCTTGATTCAGTAAAATATATTCTGAATCAATCAAACCTTCTGTGAGCCAGTCAGAACCTGCTTTTCCGGATCTGAACTTATTAGAGCTAGCTAAAAGCAGTCTGAAGCAATTTGAGCTATCAAAACCAGACCCACTTTGGGACAGCCTGGATGGACCTGGAGAATATTATGCTAAGTGAAATAAGCCAATCCGAGAAAGACAAATATCACATGATTTCACTTATTTGTGGAATCTAATGAGCAAAATGAATTGACCAATAAAATAAGACCTGAAGCATGGAGACATGGAGCAGACTGACATACTTTGATGTGGGAGTGGGTGGACGAGAAGAGATAAACCAAAGAACTTATATACCCATGTGCATAGCCCATGGACATGAGCAATAGGGTGGTGAAGACCTGGGGAGGTGGGTAGAGGCTGGGAGGAGGGAGGTAAAGGGGGTAGGGGGTAAATGGGAGACATCTACAATGCTATCAACAATAAAAAATATATACATTAAAAAAACAACAAAACAGACCCAAATAGCCCTGGCTGATGTGGCTCTGTGGTTAGAGCCTCGGCCTGTGCACCAAAAGGGTTGCTGGTTTGATTCCTGGTAAAGGGCATGTACCTGGGTTGCAGGTTTGATCCTGGCCCTGGTCTGTGTATGTGCAAGAGGCAACCAATAGATGTGAGAGAGACACATCAATGTTTCTCTCTCTCTCTTTTTTCCCCTTCTACTCTCTCTTAAAAAAAATCAATGGAAAAATATTATTGAGTGAGAATTAACCAAAAAATAAAACAAACAAACAAACAAAACCCAAACCCAAATAATTTTGATTGTCTGGTTTTAACCAGGGTGGTTTTAGATCAGTCAGAGATGGTTTTCTAGGTAGAACCTCTTTTACTCAACTCTTTCACTCTGAACTAATATGAACCATTCAAATTCTTTTGAAGAAGTATGAGTTTGTTAGAACAGATTGCCATGTTTCATACAAATCTGAATCGGCTTTTAAACTGGTCATAACTTTTGAAATTAACATATCTATTTAAAATGAATTGAAAATCGTTTGAACCTGCCAAAAAAGAAGTAGTTTGAAAGTGATCCTTGTTGACTCAGCAAACTGTTGTGAGCCAGTCAGTAATCATTTGTGCTTTGCATTTTGAGCCCTGGCCAGTGTTGCTTAGTTGATTGAGCATTATCCTATGTACTGAAAGGTTGCTGGTTCAATTCCAGGTCATGGTTCCTTGAATTCTTTCTTTCTATAGCAATAAAATAAAAACAGTTAAAAGTAGTACTAAATATATGTTTTGAGCTTCCCAGTGGCAATTTCAGAAATTGTTCTAGGACTTCAGAGTCAGTCTGCTCTGTCCATAATGGGGAGAAAGGAATAAACTAACATTTACTAAGTACCCAGGATATGCCAAGCATTGTGCTGGGCACTCCACAAAGAGTATCCCATTCACCCTGGCCAGCATGGCTCAGTGGTTTAGCGTCAACCTATAAACCAGGAGGTCATGGTTCAATTCCCCATCAGGGCACATGCCTGCATCGCAGGTTCGATCCTCCGTAGGGGGCATGCAGGAGGCAGCCGATCAACGATTCTCTCTAATCATTGATGTTTCTATCTCTCCATCTCCCTTCCCCTCTGAAATCAATAAAAATATTTTTAAAAAAGAGTATCCCATTCAATCCTTAGAACAATGTCTTGCGATAGTGCATGTTATCTTCCTTTTCATAGAATGGAAACATGAAATACAAGGCTTAAATCCCCTGAATGTGGGTAGATGGTATGTGAGAAACATGGGGACTCAACCCAGCTGTTTTTTCTGTGTTAATCCTCACCTGAGACAATTTTTTCCATTGGATTTTAGAGAGAGTGGAAGTGAGAGAGAGAGAAACATTGATGTGAGAGAGGCACGCAGATTGGTTGCCTCCCGCATGCACCCCAACCGAATCGAACCACAGACCCTTCAGTCTGCAAGCCAACGCTCTAACAATTTAGCCAAACTGGCTGGGGCTATATCTAGTTGCTTTTAAGCCCAACATGCATTTGTAAAAACGTGAGTGATGGACACAAAGTTTGGGCTAGAATGGACCCTGGGCTTGGAGTTAGGAGACCTGTGTTCTTGGTTGTGCAAATGAATTAACCTTCCTGAGTTCTATTTATCCTTTAGAAAACTGAGCCCAGAGAATGAAAGGTCTGAACATTTATTTTCAGATAAGGCAGATCATTGTCTAAAGATACAATCTGAAGAATGCAAACTGTGATGAATATTGATGTTGGCATTTCTATCCTTTCGGTTATAGTATTTGGTTTGTTAACACTTCCTTTATGATGGCTTGGTTTAGGAACAAACTTATGTATCGCTATCAGCATGAATAGAAAACAAAACCCATGAAGATCATCTGTAGACTTACACGTGTGATTCTTCTCCCATGATGCCATTAACTTTTGATGCAACAGAGATAGTTTCATCTGTCTCTACATTCCACTCAAGTGGGTTTAGAGAATTCTAGAATAGTGATACCATTGGTGACAGCATTTTCTTTTGTACCTTAAATTACATAAAGACATACTTTTAGAAATGACCAACTTTTTTTCAAATTAAATGTAAAGAGGAAACAAGGCAGCCACAGTGTCTTCTTGCATCACTGTCATTGCAGAATTTGGAGTTGCTTTCTGCTTCCTCATTCATTTTGAGGGGGACCCCCCAAATGATTAAACATTAACTGGGTCTACTTTTCAATTCTTAGCTCTTATTTCTGAATAACTTGGAGCCAAGTGAGATGCTGCGATATGATACACTAGAATATTTATTTGTACCCAAGTGATCATCTTTTGGAGAAGAATTCTGTTATATACCATTAATATTGGCAGCCTACACCTGTGAATACAGAAGCCATGGCATGGGAAAGCCATCATCTGTAAAATGTCATTCTTTATAGTGTGCAAACAGAATTATGAATGTTTGTAGAGGCTCTGCCCTTATCGACCGACCAGCGTATCTGAATGTGAAGTTAGTCTGCACTCAGACACTCTGAGGAAGTACATGGAGTGGCTCTTGGGTCTCAGCAATCAGGATTTTTGAGCATAAAGTGAGTCACCAAATTGAGGATGGGGTTGGGGTGACAACCTTCAGAACCGATGAATGTCCTTGCCTGAGTTTTTATTAATTCTATGGATCTGTGGAAGTAATTCTATAGGACATACTGAGAATTGTGGTAAAGTTTCTGGGTATGGGGCTGGGTGAAAAGGAGACAATGAGAAGAAAATCAGCAGCATCTAAGGTAGGAAATCTGGTGTGTGTGTGGATGGGGGAATATGTGTTTGAATGGGCAAGTAGAGTTGTCAGTGGTAATGGGATAGCTGATTATTTTTCTAATTTTCAGAAGGATTTCTTGGAATTAGATTTGGGAGGGTAAAGAGAAGCCTTCCTGGGAGACAGACTACATTTTTAGACAGACTGACATTTTGAATAGTTTGAATCTATTTAGAGGATAATAAAAAATCATGAAAAGTGCTGATTGCAATGGATAAAAAATAAGCATGGTTAGGTCTTGTTGGTAAAAATAATTTTTCTTCTCCAAAGTGGACTTTTGTGTTAGTCAACATCAAAGAGCTGAATAGGTAGCATTTCTTGTTAGAATATCAAGGCAAGAATAGGTCAATGAGCCCTTTGTTGTGAGTTATGGTCTCTGTGCAGTGACTGCTCAGATTTAGAACTCAGTTTCCAAGTAAGCAGTGAGAGTCCAGAAAAGTCTGATTTAATATGTGTCATGTAATAATAATAATAATAATAATAATAATAAAGCTGCAAGCCAGATGTTACCTGCTAATTTAGCATTGTCTTTGAAGAAACTATAATGGCCTGGGAAAATGAATGGGATAAGTGAAATTGCCTAGATGTCCAAGTAAAAGGCGAGAAAAGCCAAGGATCCAGCACTTGGAGACTTTGAAAAAGTAGAGTTGGGGGAGGAATTGGAACCACTTATGCTCTAAGAATTGTTATTATTCCTGTAACATTCTCCTCTCTCTCTCTCTCTCTCTCTCTCTCTCTCTCTCTCTCTCTCTCTCTCATTAATTTTTGTTCAAATGATCTGCATATAAGACTTTAATGACCATTACCTTCTTAATTATCATTCTCACTTGGAATTTTTGTCTTCAGCGTACTATATTCAATTTAAGCTGAACTGTTAGTTATTTACTATTTCAGTAGCAACTCTTCTAGCAAATTACTAGAAGAGGTCTTTAGGGGCAGTGAACAATATCTAATCCTCTCCTCACAGAATTGTTAGGCATATAGGTGTTACATAGACGTACTTGTTGACCTGGATATATTAAAGTATGGAGGAGTCTAATATTTTGTAATGTTTGGTTTTTGCAGGTGAACCAGAGTTCTTCATTATGTCTGATGGAGACTATGATTACCTCATCAAGTTTTTAGCTTTGGGAGACTCTGGAGTAGGGAAGACCAGTGTACTTTACCAGTACACAGATGGCAAATTCAACTCCAAATTTATCACAACAGTGGGCATTGATTTCAGGGAAAAGAGAGTGGTAAGTTCTCTAGCCTCCTATCTAAAAATGTAATCTCTAAAAAATAAAAGTAAAAATGTAATCTCTGAGTCCACATTTGCCTGTCTGTTTAGTTTACTTTGTAGGAATTAGGACGACAAAGGTTGGAATCTAAAATTAAAGGATACAGCCCTGGCCACTGTGGTTCAGTTGGTTGGGCACCATCCCATGCACCAAAAGGTTGGTGGTTTGATTTCCAGCCCAGGCACATGCCCTGTTGCAGGCTAAATCCCCAGTAGGGGGCATTCAGGAGGCAGCCAATTGATGTATTGCTCACATTGATATTTCTGTCTCTCCCTTTCCTTTCCTCTCTCTCTAAAAATTGATTAAAATCTTTAAAAAATTAAATTAAGGCGTACATATGAAAGTGTATTATATTTAATCCTGGCAATGTGATTTAAAAGGCTGTGCTGAGGGACAATTCATATATAACTAAGTAGACAAAGTAAAAGTGAAGCTTCTTTTTAATTTTTCCTTGATACCTTTTTGGCTTCCATCTGAAGTCCACAGTTATTGCTCTGAAGCCTACAAAACATCCTGCCCCTTATGCCCCTATTTTATCTGTTATATTTTCCACCTTTGATGTCATTCTTAATGACTTTTCTCTTAATTAAGGCCTCAGCTATCCCACGTGGACACTAAGTGGCAGAACGCGCTGCTGACAGGAGGGTGTGGTTGGAATAGGAATGGGGATGCTGGTGGTGGGTGTTGATCTGGGAAGTAACAAGGGAAACAGAAGTTCTGCAGAATGATAAGGGAAGAGGCTCTTTTTAAAAAACACACACATTTTTATTGATTTCAGAGAGGAAGGGAGAGGGAAAGAGAGACAGAAATATCAATGATGAGAGAGTATCATCAATTGGCTGCCTCCTACATACCCCTAACTACCTATTATCTATTTGATGAAAGCCATTCTAGTGGGTGTGAAATGGTATCTCATTGTAGGTTTGACTTAAATTTCCCTAATGAATGTTGTTGAGCGATCATCTTTTCATGTGCTTTATTGTCCATTTGTATATTGTCTTTGGAGAAATGTCTAATCAGGTTCCTTGTCTATTTATTTAAATATACTCTTTATTGCCTTTATCTATTTTGAAGTTGGTTATCTTTTTGTTAAATTTTAAGAGTTTTAAATATATTCTAGATAAGTGTTCTCATTAGATATATGATATGCAAATAGTTTTAGCTCTTACATTTAGGACTATAATCCATTTTGAGCTATTTTTTGTGTGTGTGTGCATAGTATGAATAGGGATCCAACTTCATTCTTTCGCATGTGGATAGTCTATTGCCATAGCACAATTTGTTGAAAAGACTATTTTATCTCCCATTGAGTGGTCTTGGCACTCTTATTGAAAATCAGTTGACAATAAATGTAAGGTTTATTTTTGAACTCGCAATTCGATTCTATTTAACTATATGCCTATCCTTATGCCAGTACTTTTCTATCTTGATTACTGTAGCTTTGTAGTAACTTTTGAAATTGGAAAGTATGAGTCCTCATTTTTTCAAGATTGTTTTGAATTCCTTGCAATTCCATATGAATTTTAAGGTCAGTTTGTCACTTTCTACAAAGAATCTAGTTGAGATTTTGATAGGGCTTGCATTGTGTATATGTGTGTGTGCTGTGATATGTGCTTAATACGCTAGTAGATGGTTTATAAATCTGTCTTAGCCTTCACTTCATGCTTGAGAAGAGCCTCGAGGTCAGCCAGAGGAGTGAGCTTAGGGCTTTTTCAGATCTTTCCTGGGCATATGTACAGCCCTAAACACGAGCATGGCCTAATAGATAACAAGGAATATTTTGGAGCTTTTCAAATCTCTGTATAGACATCTCATTTCCTGTTTTGTTTTTTCTTTTTTTTTAAGTCTTTTTGGTTAGATTTTTTGTTAGCCCCAACTGGCATTTTTTGCCTTTGATAACTGTAATGTTAAATACTTGATGCTGATTATTTTCAACAATGCCCAAGGGATAGGGTTATTCTCATAGAGCAAGCTCCGAGGCAGGTAAAATAAAGACCAGGCCTGGGAATGGGGCTTTACACGCAGCTTTCAGTTCTCTGGGGATGAGATTTTAGGGGCAGCTCCAAACCTGTTTTGCCTCCACTGCTGCTATACTGATGGTTTTCACAGCTATCATAGTTATGTATATGTTGGTTTTCAGGACTACTGGGAGCCAGGAAAGGGGAGATGAGAATAGGATAAGTGAAAATAGCGCAAAGCTTATTATTTTTACTGATATTCAGAGTTCTGAAAAAGTTGATTTTGACAGTTTGTACTGATGTTTTCATTGCTTGTATGGAGAAAGAGAGTTTCAGAGGTACTTCCTATAAAATTGTTTTAAGAGTATTTTTAAAGATAGGATGGGAAAAGTCATAGAAAGGTAATATTTCTTGAAATGCAGGACCTGAGGGTTCTTTGAGGAAAGGTGAGCTAATTATTATGTTACAGAAATTATGTATTATTTATATATTTCATAATATATTTATAAAGGTATATTCTATATATATGTTAATGCAAATTATTGTATTATCTAAAGATAATTATTTGGGATAAAATACATTTATAAAGGTATATTCTATATATATGTTAATTCACATTATTGTGTTACCTAAAGATAATTATTTGGGATAAAATGCAAACAAGGTTATATTCCACATGGGATTTTCTTTAGAGGTTTATGCTATAGTTGTACTGAATACGGAAGTAAGAAGAGTTCACTGATCTCAGAAAGTTCTCTCTCTCTCTCTTACTTTGCTGTTGTAGGTGTACAGAGCCAATGGGCCAGATGGAGCCGTTGGCAGAGGCCAGAGAATCCACCTGCAGTTGTGGGACACAGCAGGGCAGGAGAGGTAGGAGGTCCTCCGTTATGCATGTGCTTCCTCCTGGAGGAAAGGGAAAAGCAGCTACACTTCTCACACAGGGACCCGAGCAGGAAGAAGCCAGCTGATCAGGTCACTTGCACCTGGATACGCCATGCTGCCAAATTAGCAGGAAATTGATCAGTCTGAGTTGATAATGGTGGCTTTATCTCATACAAAGTCACAGGAAAAAAATGAATCTTTTTCAAAATGGATCAAACTTACTTATGGTCTCTTTTTTGTCTTCTTCATTTTTAAAAGGCTTATACACCTTTCTCCATTGACCTTGGCTATTTACGCAGCCGCACAAAAGCCACAGAGTTATAAAGGGGAGAAGAAAAGTAGGTTTACAGTTATTCGTATGGGAAAATATACAATAATTAATAAATAATAATACAAGAATACACTTTCGTGTACTCCGATTGTAAACCTACTTTTGCCCACCCCTGTCTGTATTATTATTGAAAACGGAGTGGAAAATCTGGCAGGAATTAATCCATATGGTCAGAAGTTGCTTAACCAGAATCAGTCACATGGAATCTCGATGTAAAATTGCTTTTCATTAGCTAAGATTTCAGATTTTTTCTCTCAGATTCTTTGAAGGCTTTTTAAAAACTTTTTATTATGGAAAAGTTCAAGTATATAATGAACTCATGTATTCATTTCCCAGTTTCAACAGTCATCAAGCTGTGGCCAATCTTATTTTATGTATGCCCCTCATTCCTATTCACTCCCTCTCCCAAATTATTTTTAAGCAAATTCCAAATATCAGATTATTCATTCCTAACTATTTTAGTATGTATCTCTAAAGATGTTTTAAGCAAATTCCAAATATCAGATTATTCATTCCTATTTTGGTATGTATCTCTAAAGATAAGGACTATTTTTGTAAAAATATTGATTAAAAATATTTGAGAAAGCTTAGAAGATTAGATGACAAATTTATACCAATATTTTCTTCCTTGGAGCCTGTGTCTGTCCATTGTAGGCTTTGTATAAGGGCAAAGTAAGAGGTGTGAATATGACTGGTAGAGGGAGAGAGGGGAGACGGCAGGATAAAGCCTTGGAAGAGAGAGTACAAAAAAGGAACAGGGTCTGAGTCATTACTACTCCCACCTTAATGCCTGAGATTGAAATCAAAAGGTCATGAAACACATTGTAATGTCAAGTCAAGCCAACCTTCACCGGACAAGGAAAACATACATAGCAAGCTCCATTGTTTGGGTCTAATTAACTCTCAGTTGGACAATAAATTCTTGGGTGATACTAAAGGATCATGAACTAGTTCTGTCATCCCTGTCCAGCAGGCTGGGTTTTTGAATCACATGGTCTGTTAACACATAAACTTACATAAGTGATAAATAACTGTCTTATACACTTTTGGAATATCAGCACCTAATTTGTTTTAAAAAATTTTTTTCATTGATATAGGTTATTTTTATTTTAAAAGAATGTTCCAAGTATAACTTTTGATAATTGTTGGCATTTTTAAAAGTCTGACTATTTTTCAATTATTCTTGCTCTAGATAGCTATTTATTATATTTTGTAAGATACCTAATATTGATTATACTCATAACTTTATACTATTAAATTGTCATTTATAATCACATTCTTCACTAAATCTAGTATAACTAAGAGCTATAATATTCATGTATAATGTGAAGTTATTATAAACAATGGCACGTTATTAAACATCTAATTTGTTATTGATGAACTATGGTGAGAGGCTGAGGGCACTGGTGGTAGCTTCATGTTTTAGGAGCGGGGCCATGGTTTAGGTGATCAGTCTGCTTTTATGTCCCTAGGTTTCGGAGCTTGACAACAGCATTCTTCAGAGATGCGATGGGGTTTCTTCTGCTTTTTGATCTGACAAATGAACAAAGTTTCCTCAATGTCAGGAACTGGATAAGTAAGTGTTATTGTCTCCCTGCCTCCCACTCCCTACAATAAAATGCCCTCTTATATTCTACTTTTGTTGTAAATTGACTTGGGAGAAATCCTAGTGCTGTTTAAAATGCTATATAAAGGAGCATGGCTATTAGTTTAGGGGAAAAGATAACTAAAATATTCTGCTTTTTCTAATAATACCAACTTTGATGTGTTGAATACTTCCTATGCTCCAGGTATAAGGCCCTGCTTTCCATGCAAATCTTTTAATGAGTCTTTCCCACAGAGGAGACTCATCCCTCTTTTATAGATGAGGATATACAGGCCTAGAGGGGTTAAATCACTAAGTATCTGCTTGCCTATTGTGTGCTATCAAGTCTTGTATCATCCCAGGGTTTAAAACATATATTACACAGATTACATACAAGGCTTAATGGATTAGACCCCTGGCTGCATGTCTCTTCTATGCTTAGAGGCCCCTTCTCTGTTTTGAGGGCCAGGCATTTGCCTGGAGGACTCTAGAACTCCATTGGCAAAAGTGGTCCCAGCACTGTGTGTGTGTGTGTGTGTGTGTGTGTGTGTGTGTGTGTCTGTGTGTCTATATATATCTTCATTTTGGCTTTTTGGAGAGATCCTAATCTAAAATCCTGCTACTGGACCAAATAACAGCTTGCGAATGTACATTTACCTTTATAAGTTTTTTTCTCTCAGATTCTTTGAAGGCTTTTTAAAAACTTTTCATTATGGAAAACTTCAAGTATATAATGAACTCATGTATTCATTTCCCAGTTTCAACAGTCATCAAGCTGTGGCCAATCTTATTTTATGTATGCCCCTCATTCCTATTCACTCCCTCTCCCAAATTATTTTTAAGCAAATTCCAAATATCAGATTATTCATTCCTAACTATTTTAGTATGTATCTCTAAAGATGAGGACTATTTTTGTAAAAATATTGATTAAAAATATTTGAGAAAGCTTAGAAGATTAGATGACAAATTCATACCAGTATTTTCCTCCTTGGAGCCTGTGTCTGTCCATTGTAGGCTTTGTATAAGGGCAAAGTAAGAGGTGTGAATATGACTGGTAGAGGGAGAGAGGGGAGACGGCAGGATAAAGCCTTGGAAGAGAGAGTACAAAAAAGGAACAGGGTCTGAGTCATTACTACTCCCACCTTAATGCCTGAGATTGAAATCAAAAGGTCATGAAACACATTGTAATGTCAAGTCAAGCCAACCTTCACAGGACAGGAAAACATACATAGCAAGCTCCATTGTTTGGGTCTAATTAATTCTTAGTTGGACAATAAATTCTTGGGTGATACTAAAGGATCATGAACTAGTTCTGTCATCCCTGTCCAGCAGGCTGGGTTTTTGAATCACATGGTCTGTTAACACATAAACTTACATAAGTGATAAATAACTGTCTTATACACTTTTGGAATATCAGCACCTAATTTGTTTTAAAAAATTTTTTTCATTGATATAGGTTATTTTTATTTTAAAAGAATGTTCCAAGTATAACTTTTGATAATTGTTGGCATTTTTAAAAGTCTGACTATTTTTCAATTATTCTTGCTCTAGATAGCTATTTATTATATTTTGTAAGATACCTAATATTGATTATACTCATAACTTTATACTATTAAATTGTCATTTATAATCACATTCTTCACTAAATCTAGTATAACTAAGAGCTATAATATTCATGTATAATGTGAAGTTATTATAAACAATGGCACGTTATTAAACATCTAATTTGTTATTGATGAACTATGGTGAGAGGCTGAGGGCGCTGGTGGTAGCTTTATGTTTCAGGAGCGGGGCCATGGTTTAGGTGATCAGTCTGCTTTTATGTCCCTAGGTTTCGGAGCTTGACAACAGCATTCTTCAGAGATGCGATGGGGTTTCTTCTGCTTTTTGATCTGACAAATGAACAAAGTTTCCTCAATGTCAGGAACTGGATAAGTAAGTGTTATTGTCTCCCTGCCTCCCACTCCCTACAATAAAATGCCCTCTTATATTCTACTTTTGTTGTAAATTGACTTGGGAGAAATCCTAGTGCTGTTTAAAATGCTATATAAAGGAGCATGGCTATTAGTTTAGGGGAAAAGATAACTAAAATATTCTGCTTTTTCTAATAATACCAACTTTGATGTGTTGAATACTTCCTATGCTCCAGGTATAAGGCCCTGCTTTCCATGCAAATCTTTTAATGAGTCTTTCCCACAGAGGAGACTCATCCCTCTTTTATAGATGAGGATATACAGGCCTAGAGGGGTTAAATCACTAAGTATCTGCTTGCCTATTGTGTGCTATCAAGTCTTGTATCATCCCAGGGTTTAAAACATATATTACACAGATTACATACAAGGCTTAATGGATTAGACCCCTGGCTGCATGTCTCTTCTATGCTTAGAGGCCCCTTCTCTGTTTTGAGGGCCAGGCATTTGCCTGGAGGACTCTAGAACTCCATTGGCAAAAGTGGTCCCAGCACTGTGTGTGTGTGTGTGTGTGTGTGTGTGTGTGTGTGTGT